AAATTCATTTCTTGTGCCTCAAGGTATTCAGGTTGCGATAAACGATCGTTTTCATGGAATGTGAACACAGAAAAAATCGAGTTTTGTTCAGAAGAAATTATTCCGTTTGGTATTTCTGATCGGTAATAATAATTTAAATTATCACAATATTAAAAAAATGCTTAAATTCGTAGAGACGAGATGTTATTACGGATAGCTACAAAAATTTGAAGAACGAAACAAAGCGAGCGGATGAGTCACGTTCATTCTTTCCAGGAACCGCAATTGCTCTTAAGCGGTAAGCCACGTAGATGTTTAGATTATTAGCGCTAATACTAATAAAAAGGGCAGCAATATCCATTGTTGCTTTTGAAAAATATCCACGCAAAATCAGAACTAAACTGTTTAAAGAAAAGTTTGTTTAAAAATAAAACCATTCTAATCCAACACCGGTATTGACGATATTCTTTCTCTGAGGAGTGAAACGAAGCCACGAATCAATATAATTCTTTCAAGGGGAGGATACTTAATTGGAAGCTACGTTTATTCTCGTCTAAGCTGTCGAATATCGGCCCAGGAAACCCATCTTTTCTCGCACACACGCCGAGCGTCCTACCTGCATCTGATTGGCCAGGACCACGAGGATGCTCCTGTTGTACACCTGTTGCTCGGACGGCACCATGAGCCTGTGCATCGACTTTAGAACGTCCGGCAGTTCTCCCAGTCTCGGCGACACGCAGGTCTTGGCGAACTGCACCATCGTGTACTTCTCATACTTGTCCGGATTGTTCGAGTACATCTCGAAGAGCTTGTACAGCTCCAGCACCTGGCCGACGTAGTGGTCAAGCTCTCTCAAGCTGTTGTCGAGCCAGCTCTGCATAGGAAGTTGCTGCAGTAGTTGCGTCAGCATCGTGTCAGCCTTGTTCTCCATCCGCTCCTGGTGCTCGTCGATCTGCTTGGAGATGTGGTTCATCTGCTTGAGCAGCTCGCGCTCCATCACCTTCATGAACACGAGGTTCTCGCCGGGCAGCTTGTCGGCGGGGAGACGCTGAGCGATCATGTCCCAGGACTCCATCACCTCCGTCACCGCCTGCTGGCCCAGTCTGATTAGCTCGATTGCGTCGTTCAGGCCGACGCCGAAGGCGCGGCCGGCGAACGCCAGGACGACGAGCAGGGCTAGCCCTGCTGGACGGTGCCTGGCCATTTGGGTGAAAGCGGGGAAAACGACGCAATGACCAAGACCAAGACCAAGACGAAGAAGACCAAGATGTCGGGTGGATGGGCGCGCACGCACTCGCCGTCTGCGATTGGCGACGCCAACACGCCGGAGACTGAACGACTGCTCTAGACTGCTCTGCCGTTCACTCGGCTTGGCAGCTGGCACTCGGACGGGGCGACCGTTATGGGCCGAGAACGGGTAGGGGGTATTGCACCCGCGGCTATGAATGGAGCTGGTCTGTTCGTTTCATTTTGCGCCTCCTCTCTTCTCGCCGGTAGCGAACACACATGTGACCTTTGTTCCCGCAATTACGACGAAATCGGGGAAGAGAGGAGGGGGGCGACAAGGGCGGAGACAAGGGCGAAGGAAAGTTTTAGCTATACGAGGAACGAACCTTCTGTTAGCGAATCCCGATTGCCTCCACCACTTCCACACCGTTTCCGCTGTAGGTCTGTTCGTTGCGGTTGCGCTACGTTACACTGTCCGCATGTAAAATAGGCATATAATTGTAATGTTGGAGAGAAGAGGTGGGAAAAATGGAAGATACAAGAAGTTTAGTCACATGGAAAGTAAAATGTAAAGCTGCTACGCGTGAAAGGGTCCAAGATATCCCACATAGCATGCATATCAAAAAGACGTCCAGAAGATATCCCGAAGATATAGTTAGGAGATAGGATATCTTTGGGATATCTTCTGGACGTCTTTTTGATGTGCATGCTATGTGCTATATATATGCATGATATGCATGCTATATCCCGAAGATATAGTTAGGAGATAGGATATCTTCGGGATATCTTCTGGACATCTTCTGGACGTCTTTTTGATATGCATGCTATGTGGGATGTTACCCTAAAAATGTAATGATATTAACATCAGATATTCTGTTATGTTGTATATATATTATTTATTTATATTTATATATATTTTTACATTATTTGGGGTGACAATGTGGTCCAGTGGTAAAGCACCAAACACCACGAAGAACCGGGTTCGAGTCCTGATCACAGATTTTTAATATTTTAAACTGCATCCTCCCCTCCCCTGCACGAAAAATTAATGGAGACTTTCTTGCGGAGAAACTGAGCTCCGTCTTTCGGAAGAGACAGACGTTAAGTCGTTGATTCACACATAGCTGACAACTGCTATGTATACCCTCTCCATTTGCCACCACGATAGGGTGCTGTGGACCAGTCACCCGCACATCTGAATTTAAAGCAATTACTGAGACCTAGGAAGTCCTATGTTTCACTTAGGAATTAAAGGAATCAGTTATCATCATTATTACATTATTTTATTTGATATGTATAATACATATCTAATATATATAATGTAAGTAAATATGTAAAAACATATATTGTACATACCTAATTTAATAATATAATGTTATATTAGTTAATACATTCATTAGCAAAGGAGAGTCAAAGGAAAAGAATTGTCAACATATTTTATAAATTTATTAAACACAACTAGAATCGGTCTACTGGGCTTTAAAATTTATTTCATATGTTTACATAAGAATATTATATGACACGCTCTTATGTAAGTTTGTGTGCGGTTGGCGTAAATGCTGTGTGTCATTCGAGATACGAAGAGATTAAATTTATATCTTCCATCAAAAAGTACTCTGCAAACGCAATTTAGTGACGTTGATGTACATATATCCAGAGATGAATGAAGGTCAGCTAGATATTTTGCTCGACAGCTTTATAAGGATGTTTCTAACAATCTGTGGTGTTACAGTCGCTACGCACTATAGCTACAATAATACATCATGATTGTATAAATTTTTATGGAGCGTCACAGAATATCCAGTGCAAAATATTTTATCATTGACGTTGATCGTGTATGTAATATAATAAATAACATTTCTTTGCGTATTTCTGTTTTCAGGTGGCTTTCTATGAGATTCTGAATGGATTGTGGGTTCGCAATGGATTGCAAATAAAGGGCCAGGCAATGACCTACATACAGTGCAACTTCTGCAACTCCATGGTGGACGCGGATCTGTATCTGTTGCAAATATGCGCCACGAAATTATTGCCGGATGTCTTTCTGAAAACCGTCATCGAAAAGTAATATTCTCTTTCTCGGGGTTTTTTTTTATTGAATCAATAATACAAATAATTTAACTTGTTGAAAAATATTTAATGCAGATTTCACGTGAGGGAATGGATGAGTTTATGCCTGTATCATGCCCCACAAAATGAGTATCTCGAAGGCGAGCATGATACCCCGATGTTGGAAAGCTGCCTAACATTCTTGGCTACGTTGGTCAACGTCAGAACAAATCTCGGTGAGTTTCTGTCGGTTTTAATATAATTCTCTTTCTTAATAATAAATTTTATAATCCTGAAAATAATAGAATCGTTATTCATGCAAGAATACGATACATATTAAAACGTTACATTTTTACATTTTTCTTGCATCAGGTTTATCGGATCCTGAAATGTCTCGTCTCGAAATGGTGACTTTATTGTGCATGGGCGATAAGACGCATAGTCAGTTGATGGAACTAATGCCGGAACGCTGTGGAACTACTCAGAACAGGGACTTTGAATCTGTTCTAGCCGATGTACGTTGATATATCATGCACATTTTTATTTCTAATTTTTATCTTTTTGTATAAATTTCACTTATATACAACTTACTTTTTAATCGTTATACAATTTTTGTATTGGATATACACATATATTTATTAATCAATTTTAAATGACATCGTTGATTTTGTTTTACTTAACGACGTAATGTGTTTGTAGGTAGCGCAATATAGAGCTCCGAATCTCGAAGCAAGTGGCAATATGCAACAAGGTATGTACGGACCAAAGGCTCGCGTGTGGGACGAGTTGTTCGATCCTCTACATGTGCTATTGAGAGCGGTCCATAGAAGAGACTTTCAAGTATCCATGGATCGTTTCACAGAATAGTACGTATCGGCCAAACACACCTATCTTAAAATGTTTCATTCTGGACAAATATTATATTTTTCTATTGCAGTGTGAAGCAATCGGGCAAGCTGAAGAACGGTGCAACTCCCTGGCCACCATTTAGGCAACCGGCTCCGGTTTCGTCGGACTACGATGATCCTCGTATAGTTTTACGTTCCAGAGTTTTTCACGCAATGATCCTGATAATACTCTATAAGGCTGTGAATGGTCATAACATATCTGAACATGTTATGGCATTGGCTATTTATCTTTTGGAGATGGCAGTTATTACTGCGGAACCGCCAGATAAATCTGTAAGTGATTCTTTTGATAAATCAATTGATTTAAGCTTGCTTTGAGCAGTTTATTCTTTTTCTTACACGTAAATTATTACTTTGTGCAGTAAATAAAACAAATAACGATTTATTAGTGCATGTTTTATCTTGTTCGTTTGACTTTTAATGTTCTCTTACAGTATATCTCTTTTAAATCTATTGTATCTATTATTTAACACAGTAATATAATTATTTTCAGGTGAGTCCTTTGTGTCAATACACCGGTGGCACCTCTCGTGTGATAAAGGACATGGATTTGGCTGGTTGGTACGAAAGTGATAGCTTGTCCGAAAATCTGAGGACAGTGATACCTCGAGTGATTCTAGTCCAAGAGTCAGAGCCTAGCAGCTCAGATAGTGAGTTATAAATTTATCGAATTTCTATTGCCTCATTTTTTTAATATAATATATAATTTAATCGATTTATTTAATTTAAAAATACTGAAAACAAAATAAAAATAAAACTAAATATGTAACACAATGTAATAATATATTATAAAATGATGAAATTATTTAATATATTAATGTGTAATAATGATTTAGTGACTAATATATTTAGTGTGATTTAACACATTGCTAATTTATTTAATAACGATTAGGTGAATTTGAGTGGGAGATTCAAGGAGAGATGAGCGAAGTGGCGACATCCCTGATGTTGAATGACGGCGCGGATGATGGCGCGGAGGAAGTATCTTTGGAACTGTTGGGATTTTCTGTAGGCCCCGTTAGAGATGACAACGGTGTGTCGAGCGCAAGTGCATCATCCTTGCCGGCTTTACTACCGTCGGTCGAGAGTGCTACATCTCTGCCAGCACTACCTTCAACAAGTGGTTAGCAAGATTTTGATGTAGATTGTGTATATTGCAACGTTGTTTTTTTCTTTCTTTTTTTTCTTTTTTTTTCTTCTTTTTTTTCTTCTTTTTTTTTTTTTTTTTAAACGATTTATATAAAATATAATATCGTTACGTTCTAAAACATTACAGTGGAGTATGATGTGGCAATAGTACCTGAAGACGGAATCGTCGCCATAGCTCGTAGTAACAGTGAGGATGACTTAACGATACCTTTGCAAAGAGCTTTGCCGCCATCCGGGGAAGAATCCATGGCTCTAGCAATCGAATCGCCTCCTTCACCAAATAGTACGTTTTTCAAACTTATAATTTTTTTTATCACTGAGCTTTATCACTGATGTAATAAAGGCAGCTTTCTCGAAAGTCATACTCGTTAGAATATCTCCTCGATTTTCTTTTTCAATTCTTCTTGTTATACTTTATTCTGTTAAATTTAGTTGCATATCAAACCTTCTATATGTAATATAATAATGATAGAATATAATGATATTATATTTTATTTAATTTATAATGTGTTTTTAATAATAATTAGATGTAGTCGGCGGCCAGCCAGCATTACCACCCGCTCCTCAACGTCCAGCAGTAATGGCCGGAAACGAAATAGTCACAGCACAACCGGTTAATTATAGGGCTACAGAAATCGTTCCATCCACGTCGAATCCTCACAAACATTTTAAAAGGAGAGAGCCACAAGTAATATAACATACACTACCTCTAACAATATTGTGCATTTATAGCTCGATTTAACTCATTGTTATAAAACATCATTTACATCTTCCAGGGTGGACCAATGCAACCGCAATCCGTAAAAGTGGGAGAGAGCATAATCTCCTTGCTGTTAAAGCTACATTCTCAATTATCGGGCGTGCCAGACAGCTACAATCCCGAACAAAATGCAATGTCGGACAATGAAGCCAGTAGCAGCAGCAGCACTAGTGATAGCAGTAGTAGCTCTTCCACATCATCGTCGCCTAGTGAATCGCGAATCGGTGATGGACCGTTCTTCATATCGCAGCTACTTAGGAAAATAGCGGATTTAGACCCTATGTGTAAACAGACGATTATCGAGACTAGGAACAAATTGTGGCCCCGTATGCAGGAGTGCGAGGAGGATGAACAGCGCGAAAGGGAGACTCGTGAGCGGGAGGAACGACGAAGAAGGGCGAAGGAGAGGCAGCAGCAGGTGATGGCGGACTTCGCTAACAAGCAGAAGCAATTTATGGAGAAAACGATGAAGACCGGTAAATTATTTATTTTGTGTGTATATGCATGCGTATTTATAAATTATTACAAATATTTATAAAAGTTGTAATATTTGTAATTTTTTTTGCACAACAAAAGTGTGAATTAGAAATTTATGGCACTCAGTAAATAAATTATATGAAATTATTTTTTTTTCTCGTTCTTACAGAAGAAGCAGGTGTATCCGGAATGGACTGGGATCAGGAGGAGAACGAGACTAAACTGACTAGTAAAAAGGAATATGACTGTGTGATATGTAATCAAACTACTCCCAGCAGTGAGGACAAACCGATGGGACTCGTTGTATTAGTTCAAGTAATGCTCTTATCTTTTGCCGCACGAAAAATGTTTTTTATGTATTTGCGTGTTATATATGTGTACGCATTTTTTTTATGCAGGCAACTAGCATTATTGGCCACGAACGACAACAATCGGATAGACTAGTTCTTCCCACGTCCGACGAAGATCCGCCTATACCGAGGAAAGATACCCGAGGCGCCCATTTCGACCGCAGAACGGACGATATGAATGGTTTATTCGATACCGTAAGCGAATAATAAATTTACAGTACCTACATGTGTTTTATGTATTTTCTTCGATTCTTCAAAAAAATTTTTTTTCAATTACGCTATCTTCTCTGTTGTAACTAACACATTGTATGCCATACGGCGAGGTTCTAGAAGCATTATTTGATCTTTTTGTATCACACGAAACTGGATGTCTGCTGAATTGACTTTAATTTCCGACATTACCTTTTGCACACGAAAATTTGACGACCTGGACAGATGGACAAAGAAACATGAATCAACACACATTCTTGGCTCTGAAGAAAAAGATAAATATGTATGGTGACTAACAAAATTTAATCTAACGAGAAAAAAAACAAAGCTCGTTTTATGGATATCCTTCCTGTCAAATGTTGCTACATCCCGGATCTTACACTTTTAGTATATTTACTTTTAACTGAGGTAACGTGATGAATCGATATTAAATGTTTAGTAAGATTTTTTGTGTAAAATATGTATTCTTTACAAGCAGATGAAAAAATAGGCATACAATGTCTTAACGTTAATTAATATTGTATATTTTTTATTTGGCAGTTGTCTTGGCTGCTCTCAGTTAATCTAGGATGGGAGGGTGGTGTCCATGTGCAAACGTGTGGTCATCATCTGCACCTGGACTGTTTGAAATCCTACCTAGAGTCCCTTCGCAGTCAGCAGCGGCAGCAAAGTCTAGCGGTGGAACGGGGCGAGTATCTGTGTCCGTTATGCCGACAATTAGCCAACTCTGTTTTGCCGCTGTCGCCGCAATTGGGCGAATGCTCGGCGATTGTGCGATCTCGTCATGCTTCCACGGAGACCATACTCACGGATCTGAACACTTTTCTCAAAGAGATACAACGAAATCCTGTACGTATATAGTAACTTGTCCTTCCTTTCTTTTTAGCGATTTTTTTATTTATTATATTTTTAATTATTTCAGTATATGTGCATTATTTTTACGTGCAATTATGTGCTTTAGTATTAACGTTTGATGATTACAGCTTATATGTTTTTTTTAATTAGGATATATCGAGGATGTACTTGCTAAATATATTTGTCGTTTCCAGGTCTCTTCGAATTTGGCTGTGGCGATGGGAAAGGCCATGGAAGATATGACGAGTAGCACGTATCTAAAGTATAAACAAAAGAAATGTAAACCTAGTCACCAAAGCTTGTTCCTTTTTGTAACCTCGGTAGCTCGAACTAACTTTGAGATTGAACTTGTACAACGCGGTGGATCGTTGTGCGTTCCACCACCTACCACAATACCTCTGACGCCTAAACGCGATTGTATAGGTACGTTAGTATTTCTTGATTCCGATTTACCAATTTATCCCATTTAGCTTTTCTGCCTTTTAATTTATTCACTGTACGCAATAACGCAGTACGTAGTTAGTGTATTTGTAATATCAGTCTGTAAATATGAAGATTCTGACCAGGAAAAAAAATGTATTACTTTTTCAGTCGCGCTTCTTCACGTTTTGGCGATGCACGCTCGCGTACTGACCACATGGCCAGTGCATCATGTATGGCAACAGCTATCTGGCATATCAATGATGGGAGAATCGGCCTCGCTCGCCTTGACGCCGCACGAAAGACAGGTTCCTTTACTTCTGCGAGACCCGACCGCTATGCTCATTCAATTCATACTGCTGTTGCCGTTGCATTTGGACCAAAGTACGCATGTTTCAAGGATTTTTTTTCTCGTACTCTACGTCGAAATAAATTATGTGGCGCATGTTTCAGACACATTTAATCGTATACGAGTAACAAATGAATTAACATTCCTCTTTCTCCACAGCATACTTTTCCGGCGTGGTAAAGGTCCTTTACAACTTGCTGTACTATCAAGTAATACTACAGGTAAGCTGTAACTTCTCGCGAGCAGAGCGAAATACGATCCTAAAGAGGAGATGCAGCTGCGCCACTACGCCTTCGGAGACCATACTGGCCGAGATTATTGAGTATTTCAACGAAAGCGGACTCTATCCCAGCACGGACGACGACAAACCGTCCACTTCAGCCTCTCCCACTTATACTAGAGTGAAATCACACTGCGTCGAGCAACAAGTACGTTCTATAAATATAATACACCTTTTATCTAAACATGTTCTTTCACATTCTTCTAAAACTAGCATTTTACGAAATAATTTGTCACGTTTTATATGTCTCATTTTGTATAATACAACATTTAAGCGATAATAACATATCTTGGAAGGTGATATAAAATTTGTGTTGCTTTGCGTAAACAAATTGATTACTTCTAAGAGGGACTTTATTATACTAAGAGCACCTAAAATGTATTGATGTGATTCTTTTACAGGATATTACAGATGTATTTTAATTATTTCTATTTGATCGATTTATTCAGATCCAGTCATTGTGCCTGCCGTTTTTGCGAGTGGCCGCATTGCTGCGTTATCATTTGTACGACCAGCCGCTGCCGGTGATCAGAGCGTCGCAGAGCGAGTTTGTGAGACTGGTATATTATCTGGAGCTAGTCACGGAAGGCATGAGCTGGGACAGCTTCGACTCAACGGTAGCGCTAAATTGGCAGGAACCAGAAGCGAGTGTCTCGGTGCCTCTCTTCTGGTGCGATCAGTTGATCGCATTTCTCGCCAATTGGCGAGGCCACCAGCCGGCCCGGAACCTGATAATAGAGCAACACATATCGTGGCACGTGCCGAAGCTGCTTAGTCTTCCAAGAGAATACGAAAAGATCTTCACGGTAAGAGCCAGTAATTAAAATACATTATTTGTTGCATTTAAAAATATATTGCAAGCTCATTAATTCGACTAAAAGGAGAAAAAGGAAAAGCGAGACATGCAAAATGGTTATAGATAATAAAAGTTGCGGTCCACTTGACGCTACAAATGCTTTGAAGCGTTCTTCTTCTCCTTCTTTCTTTATTGAAAGAAAGGAGAAGAGGAATGCTTTGAAGCATTTGTAGCATCAAGTGGACCGCAGCCAAGTATGATATATAATATCTTAATCTAAACATTCTATAAATCAATCATTTTTTGTGTATTATGTGTATTCACGTACTGTTACATTTATATATTGCTATTATTTGTATACCATTTTTATTCCTATGTCAATTCCTTTTTTAGTATTACCACGAGCGACAGTGCAGCCAGTGTCATTCTGTACCGCAGGAGATCAGCATCTGTTTGTTGTGCGGCACTATTGTCTGCCTCAAACAAAATTGTTGTAAACAGATGAACGTGTGTGAAGCTATTCAGGTGAGCGCAATTTATATGTACGAGAAAATGTGGGCAAGACCACATTCTTCTGCGAATTCACAGACTTTTAAATATTTATTCGATTCTTACACTTTTTTATACTTTATCTAGCATTCAATTGATTGCGGAGGTGGAACTTGCATCTATCTCGTAGTGACCTCGACTTATATTATCGTGATACGCGGTCGGCGAGCATGTTTGTGGGGATCTCTGTACCTCGACGACTTTGAGGAAGAAGATAGAGATCTAAAGTAAGTACGATTCATTGTAAGATACAGAATAAATAATATGAACAATAATATGATCAAGCATTAAGTTTGCCATTTTAATTTTTAACATATTAAAAACAAGAATACATTTCCGTTCAAGTTTCTTTTGTGATGAGTTACAAGTTAGTTTTTTAAAGAAGCAATAACTTATTTAGTATTTAATATATTCTATTATTTACTATTACAAATAATCTTATAGACGTGGCAAGCCTCTGTACCTCAGCCAGGACAGGTATCAGCTTCTGGAGCAGCAATGGCTGGCACACAGATTCGACCATACGAAGAAAACATGGGTATGGCATCGCGACGCTCTGTGACCCATCACGATGCTGTCGCATGTCACTCGTCACTCCTAATCTCAGAAACGAAGAAGACTCTCTCCCTCCCTTCCTCTCTCTATCTCACTCACGCGACTTCCACAATTTATTCTCACACAAAAATGCCTCGCCCTTTCGCCGTAATGTCCATGCGCTTTAGAGACTAAAGGGAGATAGATCGTCCTTAGCGGATATTATATATTTATTATGCAATCGCCAGTAAGTAGTAGACATAAATGATGAATGAAAGTATTAAGAAAGAAGAACACTCGTCTGGGGGGGAGGAAATAAATTATGTTTATATAGTTGCGCGTAACGACTAATACGTACTAGATTTGTAGAAATTGTGTATGCCCTCAAATTTAAAAACCTGTACATTTTATTTAAATGTATACATAGAGTTTTCATTTTAATATTTCCATGTAATTGTCTCCGAAGTTAATGATTATTGAAAAGAAAAATTCAGACGAAAGTTACACATTTTTCTTTCGAATTATACGCCTGTATGGAGATCTTTATAGAGGAAAATTAAAATGAGATACCCTGTATATATACATATACATATATACATAAATACATATAATATGTAAGCGTATAAATTACATCTTAATAATGAGAAAGAAGTACTTATCTAGTATGTAGTGTTTGTACCTTTTAGAAGAGGATGATATGTAAGTGATAATAATCAGAAAGGTAAGAGAAAACTTGTGTGTTGCTTCGAGCGGAAAGAAATTATTCATTTGGAAAATAGAAATAATTTCATATTCGTTTATTTTTCCTGCTTCGCCAGATGCTTCGCAGATGTTTATAAAATAAAGTGAAATTATTTTTAATTCTTTCTATACGGTTTAGTTATATGAAATGAAAGCAAAAAATGCATCGAGAGCATTAATGTCAATATGTCAATGGAACATGATAACAAGCATGACAGACAAATAAATGGCTTCTCAGAATATAGTGCAAAACTTTGATTTATTGCAAAATTAGAAAGATTAAAAAATAGAAAAATTCTTCTTAAATCATAAAATTATACGGAGTATTATGAGTTCGGATTATCCGATGCCATAGACATGTAAAATATATATAATTCCTGTGTTGATTAATATATGTCTCATTTCTACAGATTATATATATGTGTAATCATATATAAATATGTAATCATATATCACATAATTTCCCACTTATAGGCAGAGGCATTTTGTTTTGCTCAAACTTTGATACGTTTTAATAAAATAAAATGTTAAATTTGTTTTTAATTAATATAAATTACTAGATTCATATAGATATATGTACTTGTTGTTAGTTATTAAATTGTTGGACATAAAAATTATTCATAATTAAATTTTATATTGTATAAAAATGTTATAAATTTATCACATAAAAGTATTGTTAAATTCATTACATATAAACGTAAATATTTACTTATATAATTTATAATCTATAGCATCGGAAATCGAACATATATATCAATTTTTAATTTGGACATTTGTGTCATCTACGACAATCTGTTGTTTTATTATATTAATGTATACAATAGATGAATGCAATGTTGATTTGCGGTATATTATTTGTTGCGAAGGAACAATTTGCATATAGATATTTTTGGAAAGCAGTAATTATATATATAGTATTCCACACAACTTGTGCGCCTTTAATTTTAATGGTAGAACCTTCGAAGAACTTTAAACTAATTTTAATAAAAAGTAATATCTCTAGCTTTCGTGAATTAAATATTCTGAAAGCTAAATGGATATGATAATAATTTTGAGATTATACGAAAAGATATGTAACAAATTAGAAAAATCTGTTGGTGAAATCAAGATCGCAAATTGTGAGTCGTTTTGAATATACGTCTCGGATTTCACGATACAGATCCGAATTTCTTAGGTATGATTTAAATATGTTTGCGAAATGAAATTTATTCTAGAGAAAATTTCTCCTTCTCTATGCACTTTCGTACTGTACATATGTAATAATAACAGCTCGCTACGTATTGCATTATTAGTCAATGCTCGAAATAAAATGATTTGTATATAACTATATGATTATTTTTAGGATTGTGCTTATAATGTAAGAGTCTATGATAAAATACGTACGATTTAAAAGAAATACCTGAGAGCTAATGAATTATTATAACTGTCGAATATATGATCAATGTATAAATAAAAGCGATTCTATCCGGAACGTTATTTTATTTTTTTCGTCGATCATTAGAAAATAGCATATTATTTGCTTCTTTAAATTAAAGATATTTTCAAATTCCGAATATGACAAGTAGCAACTGCGACCTACGTCCAATAATCTCTCGAGATTGTAAGTACAACTACACATCATTATTCACAGACCATAATAAAATTCCTTCCAATCGATTGTTATCGTCCATTTGTTTTGCTATTGAGCTCGAAATTGAGCTATTCAATACATGCGCATGCTCACTCGCGCGCGCATATACACATCAACACAATATATTCTATGTTCCGCTATTTATATTATTACAATTTTTTGATCAATTTTTTTTATTTTCTTAGTAACCGTTATAAATATTTGTAATGTATTGAAAAAACCTAAGCGATACAGACATAACACACACATTTTCTCTCTCTATCTCTCACTGCCGGTTTATCTCGTTTATAAAAAATTATTATGTATGTGTGCGTAATGTTCGTACATACGTTGCATAATTTTAATAATATATTATTATATGTATGCAGGCATTGACTCCACGAATTTTATTCGAAATAACCGCAATCGAAAGCTTACATTATATTGCTGAAAATTAAATGCAACCCCTCTAAAGATGTTACTCGATGATATACTTACACATCAATAAATGAATTTAATATAAAATATTCATTATTTTAAAAGGTATTCTATTTTATTGCTGTTTCAGAAATAAAATATATAAAATATATACATATAAGTGGACCATGTAGACTAAAAATAATGATATATAAATTAAGTATGCTCTATCGAATAAACCTATTAGCAGCTCGGTCCAGACATTACTGAGATCCGATAATCTTAGCTACTCATAACTCGTCGTCTGGCGCAAAGGTTGGCCTCGCTGCATGTGAACTTGGTGAGACCGTGTCTCTTGATTGATACAAATAAAGCTATGTGAAATATAATTCGAATTCCGCGTCTTTCTGAACATCCCAATTTGGAAGAGGGTAAAATCTTAATTAACACGCAGCAGTTCAATAGATTCTCTGCTCCATCTTCTACATTTAAACAAATTTTTTAAAAATTATTACACAATCTTTTTTTTGGTATTTATTTTATAAATCTGAGATACATGGCTTTTATATCCACATGTTTATACATATAATTTTGGTATTTTTATTGCAAAGATAAGCAACATTACGATTGGGGAAAAACTATCTGCAAACAAATTTTTCTGGAGAGCATTTATATTTATTATGCCGAAAGTGTATGTATTACGGTTAGTAAAAACTAAAATTGTTGCAAAACTGTCTAAGAGAATGTAATTAATTATGCCAGTAAATGCTTCCAGGCTTAAGCGCGATGCAAATTTCTCATTACTGTTACAGTCATTCAAACGTGAAAGTTTTACGATCCCTACTTTTATTGTTACCTTAAACTTAACACAATTTCGTTATATCATATACACATCCTTTCCTGTATTTGTAAAAAGGAGTAGAGGAGAAACAGATAGAAGATCCAAAGAAAAACGTGAGATTTTCAGGGCCAAGTTCGAGCAAGGCAGGGAGCATTGCGAATACCAAATGCATTTATAATGGCGTACAATTCAATTATTCTATTTCTGAGAATTGCCCTGACGGACACACATGAAAATGGACGTACAGTATGCAATATTACGTGATTGCCCGCACGCGTTTACAAAACGATCCGGGGATTCATTGTCCAATCTCCCCGGATGGTTCGCCTCGGTACAGGAATGTAAGACAACACATTTTACAATATCATATGTGAAACCAGGAAATTACATCTTGTTTAATCATTTGTACGTATGTGTATATTAATATGCGTATGTGTGTGTATGTGTATGTGTGTAATGTGTACTATGCATACTTATAAACTTGTCCATCTTTTTTTTTTTGTTACAATAGTCACTTTCACTTTATAAAATATTAGAACGAAATGATCCTCCTCTTCCTAAGTTAGTTAACGACCACCTGTTTGCTCTTGATATACTTCAATGACATCATCATTTTCCATTTCAAGCTGAAATTAATGCGGGTCCTATTGAGAATACTTTCAATACCAGTTAAAAGTTATCATTAATAAGTGTATGACATTTAGATAAATACTATCTATTTCTATATATATATGTAGGTCTAGAGGTATGTTCCGGAACTGTTTACGTTTTTTGAAATGTACAGTCCTGGAATATAACGCATATATATGTAATCAGATTCAAAAAACTGTCCCGAAACGTGCCGTAGGACATGAATTTTTTCCAGGACAGTCCTGGAAACTGCCAAATGTCCTGGAATATACCGATGTAAAAAATAAAAGTC